AACTCATAACTAAGTTAATTTAGAATAAACGATTTAGGAAAATTACCACTCTCTGCAGTTTGGAAGAGAAATGGGTCACTAAACACTCCAACGCCAGCGCTGTTTTCAGCAGCAACCTAGAGTAGATCAAAAGAATTATATTCAAGCTTTTTACTCTCTAATTAAACAGAATCTGAAATAAGAAAACTTTGACTTGTCTTATTATTTGATAAATGATAAAGACACTATTCCCTCTAATTCCTACAATATTCTCAAAGTGTAAAGCCCACAGGGAGCTAGCCCATCTTTCCATTTCCCCAATTTATTTACAGCATAGTGTGATTCAACAGATTTCTCAGATTCCTAATGGAAAAACTAATAATCAAGTTTTATAGTCTATTAATAGTAATAATAACAATTACTATTTATGGGCAACTTCCATGCACCAGGAAATCTCCTTGGGATTTTACACATCTCATTTTAGCCATGTAATCAAAACATGAAGTATTATTGTGGACATTTTATAGATGAGACAACTGGTTGAGACTGGTCAAGTAACTTGCCCAAAGTCATACAGGAATAAGTGACAGAACCAGAATCCAGCGGAAGCTGTGCTCATTTTTGAAGCTCAGCCTCTTTCCACTGTAGTCACTACATGCAAGACACTACAATTATTTCTGTAACAAATATGAAACTATATAGATGGTATCTGGCTTTAGAGTTTACAATCTAATCAGACAAATAAATATTCAGGAAAACAATTTTAAAAATAATTAGGTCTAATTAATCATTTAGACTAAGTATTCTAGAATTTGTAAGATGGAAAAATTCATTTTGACTTGGATAGTCTAGTCAAACGGACTAGAATAGGCAGAGATAAATGAAATCAAGGCTCTTAAAGTCTTCCAAATGCCATAACTGGAGTCAGACAAACTTGGTTTAAATTGCAGGTCTACCAATTCCCAGGTGAGTAGCTCCAGTCAATTTACTCAACTGTTCTAAGTCACATGTTCTTAAAATGGGAATAATGGGAATAATACTGTATCTGTGTCATAGGATTGCTCTGAGGACTAAATTAAATAACACATGTAATGCATTTAACTGGATTTTCCCATGATCATGTAGATTTGATACCTACATTTGAAAATATCAAATGTACCATGCCAAATACCCTTTGGAATTCTGCAATGGCTAACATTTATTTGAACAGTGTAAAGGTCACCACAATGATTTATCAAGTGTGGGATGAAAAGAAGAATAAGGGCTTCTCAATAGGCTTGAAATAAGAGAATTCAAGAGAAATAAAAATTTAAACTCCATAAAAAGAGATCTAAGTGGAACTAGGTTAGCTAAATTGCTTTTCTGTCAACAATAGCCTATTCTATCACATTAAAATGTAATCTTTATTACCTTCAATAGTGTACTTTCGCATATAAGTTAATCTGAATATGTGCTTGTTGATAGAAAATATCTGTAGCATGTCATTTTCAGATGTCAGTTAAAAAAAGGTTTCTTACTCTTTAATCTATGTTTTTGAAATGAAATAGCCATCCAAAATCTTTGATTTTGACCTCTGCATGAGTAAAAGTTTGGTTTTTACTTTTTCATTGGGGAGATCCCTACTATTATTGGTATATGCTCCCCAGTTTTCACTGTGTTCTTTGATTCCAAAATAGACGTGCTTCCAATAACGAAAACGCTCCAGGCAAAATCTCTCCCTCCCATCATTTTTTACCATCTAGAATGTCATCTCAGTTATTGTGTATGATCACATATTTATACTGCCTTTACAGATTTTTTTCCTCTATATTCAATTATCTACAATGCTCAAAGAACATATTGATGTTATATTGAAAATAGAGAGGAGCAAGACGATATCTGTATTTTTTACTATCTGCTAGAAATATCACAAATATCTTGTAACTATAAATATTTTCATACGGCCTAACTAATTTGGGATTGCTCTTTAAGGTTCTTCTGCATTTAATTTTTAAATAAGATGTTAAATTTTGCATATTTAACATTGTAAAGAACTAAATATTTTTATAAACACAAAGACACAGTAAATATTCAGGACATATTTGTTGAATGGAACTGAACTGAATTCATTGCTCTTTCAGAAATTGGCTCACTAGAAACTTTCTTCCCATTATCCAAAACTTCTGTAACAGGCATACAATTATACCAGGATTGAGAGAAAAATAACAAAGCTAAATTTAAGTTTAATAAAAAAGTATTTATTTTCACTTACAGAGCCCAAATGATTCATTGATAAAGTCACTAAGCTAATGTTTTTAAATAGATAAATTACATAAATGCACATAAAAATATAAGAATTTGTTCATTTTAAAAGCCTTGATGGGCACTGAGGCCATGACTCAGATGGCCATTCTCAGCCATTTGATGTGTGCAGCTGTAAAGTCTTGACCAGGTGGGAAAAGCTCTTATACTTTTTAAATGGATGAAATATTATAATACTAGGTGATTATTAACAAAACAATTACCTTGATTTCATATGTTGTTCCAGGATTAAGGTTAGTAAGAAGAACTTCCAGACTGTCTGGCTTTGCTCTAACTTGTGTATATGCTGCTTGCATCCATGGACAAACTTCCTTGTATTTCACAATGTAGGAGATAATCCTTCCATTTGGATTAGGTGGTGTATTCCAAGACAGAAGAATCCCAGCAGATCCAACTCTTTCTCCTGCTAAGAAGACTGGAGGCCCTGGTTCTATTTTTTAAAAGAAATGTATTTTCACAATCATAGGTGGGAAAGGTATTTACAGATGTTCCCAAAGGTCTCTTACATATGAGTTTATCCTCCCTAGAACTTTGCTACCAAGAGAAACATAAAAAAGATCAAATGGTTTGGGGAATACCAAAAACATTCTTGTATAAGATTCTACAAAATGGAATGCTACTAAGTACTACATGCCAAATATACTTTTGATGCCAGATCATTTTCAAAAGAAACTTAACTTGTGCCAGGCTTACACACAAAAACTAAGAAAACAAGGAACAGTCTTAAAAATGGAATAATTCTTCCTGAGCAAGTGCAGTGAGTTTATTTTCATGGCTCTGTAATGTTTAAATATCACAATTAACAGTCTCTGATTCATTTCGCAAACAAATATAGAGTAATTATCTTTACTCTTTGAAAGTAAAGGAAGCTAAAGAACCAGTAAAATGCTGGTTCTAAATTGATCACTTTCTTAAGTTCCATTCTACTTTTTAATTGCTATTTTCATGCATATAATGGACACATTGCTAATATAAGGAATTCCAACCAATAAAAATATACTGGTTCCAAATACTTCATTAAAAAAGTAATTGAAAACATATACTCACTCGTTACATTTGTTGTCACTATTCTACTAACAGGTGAGCTGTATGTTGTAGCAGAAATGGAAGAGATGGTTACGTCGTACCTAGTGCCGGCAATAGCATTGGAAACATCAACCTAGAGCACCGAAAACAGATAATTGCATTAAAACTTTTTCTGGAAAGCAAGAAAGCCAAAACAATACATCTATCAAAATTTAAAAAAATAGTTACTTTACTATCTGCACTGTTTAAAATATTATCGCAAAATATAAATTTCTTCTATCACATACTTTACCAAATAACATGATAAAAACTTACAAAACATACTGCATTATCAAAGACTAAATCAGTATTTCTATCTATGCTAGGTCAGTGTCACAAGAAACAACTATTTAAGAATCCTGAGAAATCTACAGCCTACTGCTTAGCCCTGGTTTTTAAGAGTCCTTTGCAATACCTGTGTCTCTGAAGTTCCAATAAAAACTAAAAGAAAAATGATAAGAAAATCCATCATTATCACATTTTTCAGGCAGTCGAATCACATTGATGGCTCTAGAGAGAAATGTTGCCTACATTAATGATTTAAAGACAGATCCTCCTGGCAAGTACACAATTAATGAGCCTGGATTACTCAATAGCTCTGCCCTTTCTTTGTTAAAGTATTCATGAACCCTTGGATGGCTGGCTGTAGGTTCAGGGTAGACTTTAAAAAAAAAAAAAAAAAGGCATAGTCATTGCTAAGGTAACACTCCACCGATGCTGAAACTCACACTCCTGAATTCGGCATCAGTGTTTTGGTGTTCACCTTAGGCTTTTAAAAATGCTCAAAAAAAAGTAAGTTTTCATGGCAGAAGAGTTTCGTTAAGAACTTTCCTATGAGGGCCAAATACAAATACGAGTTGGCTCGGCAAGCATGATAATGAAAACTATACCTGATACTCTCCACCGCCAAGATCTTTGATAGAAACAAAGTCACTGTCAGGAACCAGATCTACATGAAACCCTTCCACATGGCCGGAGGGCAGGCTCCAGCGCAGGGAAAAGGAATGTGCAGAAATATTGACTGCTTCAACTTGCTCGGGTTTTTCTGGTTCTGATATTGAAAAACAGAGGTTTGAAATAGAGTTATTCTCCTAAAGCTTGGAAAGAAAAAATGAAAATCAATAGACTAAAGGTCAGATTACACATTAATCACATTGTTAGAAAGCTCTGACTCCTTTATCTCTAGCTGTATGGAGGCATTAGGAATGTATACCTTTCACAATAACTAATTGTTAATTATAATGATCAGAATTAATCAATCAATGTATGGATCTGTTTCTGCGATATTCCTTACCTATTAAAATCTGTTGGTTTACTGGATTGTTTTTTAAAGCTTAGGCTCTAATAGAAAAACTGAATTANAATTGAATCATTCTAGAAGGATAGAATTTTTTATGAATGATTTATTATTCAAGATGTCCCTTTCATTGAATGACATTAACAAATGACGAATAGAATGCTCACTCCTGACTCTATGAGCTTCCTGGCATAGAATAGCCTCTCCTCTTTGCCATGAGTCGGAATTCTACCCAGTACTAAAAGTTCATCTCAAGTTCCATCCTTTCCTGATAACTATATTCAGTATTGATGTCTTCCTCCATCATCACCCCACTCATATATGGGAACACTGTGATGTAAAGTTCTATTGATTCATCAAATATTTAAAGCACTTTTATTACAGGGCAAGCATTATTCTATGTACTAGGATCCTGTAGTAAGTAAAACAGAAAAGGCTTCTGACTGTAGGGAAATTTTGCTCTAGTGGCAGCACCTAACAAGCAAATCAATAAAGAAGAAAACAAGATAAATCAGTGACATCATGAGTGAATAAAAAGAGCAGTTTTTTTTTAGATTCAGTAATCAGAGAGGGAGATGAGGAGATGATGCCTGAACTGAGAACTCGATGATAGGAAAAAGTCAACCAAAACTGGAGGCAAGATATCCGTGGAAAATAACTGTCAAGCACAAAAACCTTGTAATGGAGATGTGCTTGAGGAAAAGAAAGAGCCAAATATGGTCTCAACATAGTAATTGAGCAGGCAGCATAGCTAATTGAAGGTCTAATCAGGTGAAGTCTTGAGACCATAGCAAGACATTTAGATTTTATTGGAAGAGCAATGAAAATCTATGGAGGGTTTTAAATGAATGAGAGACACTGTTTTAACAGCTCTCTCTGGCTCTTAAGTGGAAAGTGGATTGGAAGAAAATCAAGAATGGAAACAGAGACCAGTTAGGAGGTGAGAGGNATTCAACATTTAAAATTTCTTTTGGTTAGATAAAATCCAATAAAGCAAAAGGAAAAAGGTTGTTAAACATATCATGCCATGGATTTATAAGAATTAAAACTTTTATCATGAATTTTTCTAATTGACTATGTTTGGCATATAACATTGAGTGTAAGTTGTACAGCGTGTTAATTTGATACATTTAATACTGTGTTATTGCTGTTGTAGCAACATTTAGCACCTGTATCACATTACATATAGTACCACAGTGTTATATAGTACCACATTGTTGTCTATATTCATTATTCTTCATCAGATCTCTATGGCTTATTTACTACCCCCTGCAAGTTTGTACCCTGAACAACATCAAACTTATTTTCCCACCCTCTTATCCCCGGCAACCACCGTTTTACTCTCTTCATAAATCTTAATCATCCTTTTAAATTTATTTGTGTAAACTATACAAATTTTTACAAGTATTCCTGATATACATATCGTTAACAAATTGCAGACAAGCTGACACATTTCCAAATGGGCCTAATAACAGACATAGAGGACTACTCAAATGTAGAGAAATTTGAATTCATAAGGTAACCAAATTTTTTTTTAATTCCAAAGCATGATTTGGAAATATTAAGAAAAGTAGACCAAAAATATTACTAGATTTAAATTACATCTGTTAAACAACATTTAATGAAATTAATTATATTTGTTAAAATTTTTATTAACTTGCTTTAAATTATTTTTGTCTCAGTGAAATGTGTGTTTTACTTTTGTGACTTCATGGTGTCTGAAGACAAATTCTGGCTCTTTTCTGTAGCTGGCAATGTCTTTCCTATTTTAAATATTCTAGTTTCTACTTTTGGACTTTTCTGTGTCAAAATCCCATCACCTCTTGATTTTTATACAGTGAATTTATCCATCTTGATTCAAGTAAAGACTTGATGCTGAAGTACCAAAAGTCCTGTTTATAAAGTTATTTCGTCTTCCAGATAAGTGTTTTCCAACACTTTGAGGATATATCTAGACATACTTATATGCATAAATACACAAGTATGTGAAAGTACTTACAACTTTTCAAAGTGTACACTCTACAAAGCATACATTTAGTGAGCCAGAAACAAAACTGTATAAATCCAATAGAGACTTCTAAAAGTATTTTCCTGCATTTCTAACGATCCATCAAGAGATATTTCTAATATTGTAAAGCCAAAATAAATTCTTTGTTTACCAAAAAAAATGCTGCATGGGAGGTTAAAAAAGTTGAGTTTTGTGCTTGTGGATGGAATATTAGCTCAGCATAGTATAACTGGTTAACATGTACGCTCTTCCTAAGAGTATTTTTATTCATGGGGAAAGAGATTACTTCTCATTCAACAATAATAAATGAAGTTTATTTATTCCACAGAAATCTGCCTTAAATTTGGGTTTTATGTAGCATACATTTAAAAGGGGCATTTGGGGGGAAAAATTGGAAAGTACCAATCTAACTAACTTTTGATTTACATTATATTTTTACCTCTTTACATTTACTAAAAAAAGAGAGGGTACAAAGGATTATGCAAAGTGCCCAAGCACACACAGCAAATGAGAAAGAGTGATACACACCTGTTCCAGGATTATTTTCACTACATCCTACAGTTTCTCTAGTTTCTCTCAATCATAATTTGCCAAGAGGGTTAATATCTCCGGAAATTATGTCAGTTTAGCAGAAGTATGAAACACATAAAGCTCAAAAAGAAGACCCGTGTGGCTGGAGTAGATAGAGGAGGGGAGAATGGTAAGAGACAAAGTCAGAGAAGGGAAAGAGCTTGCAGAGCGCTGTAGGCCACGCGAGTGGTTTAGGGTCTTATTCTGAATGACATCGGAGCCATGTTAGGAAGACAGAAGTTACAGAGTCTGGCTTATGTTTCAAGGGACAACATGGCCCTTGTGGAAAGAGTAAACTGTAGGCACATAAATTGGAAGCAAGAAAAACAAGGAGACTTTCAATTGTTCAGGCAAGAAACAAGAATGGATTAGAGTGATTGGCAATAAGGGTGAGATTCAGGATATATTTCGATACAGCTCTGGCAGGATTTGCTGATATATTAGAGTGTACTGTGAGAGAGAGGAGTCAAGGATGACATTAAGGTTTTGCCTCTCCGCCCCTGGAAGAATGATGGTGTCTTCAGATTGGTTTGGTAATGACTGTGTGTTATGGATAATATGATAACCATTAAAACCTATATTTCCAAAAATTTAATGTCATAAAAATGCTTATGATCTGATGTTAACAGGAAAAGACAGGATATAAACATGCATAAATGGCACAAGCCTTCTTTAATTAATATATAGTCATATAGACATATATTCAAGCAGGGAGAAAACCCAACCAGAAGAAATGCATCAAAGTCATAACAAGGTTTTTTATATAACAGGGCAATGGATAATTTTCACTGTTTTTTTTTTNTTTTTTTTACATATTTAAAGGGAAGATGTTGGATTTTACCAATATGAAAACAGTGACAGTATTCTATACTCAAATTTGGTCAACTAAAATACTAAATATTCTCATTATCCTCTATGAAAGATAAACTTAGAAAATATATCCAGTTAGCTTCAGAGCAAAATTCCTTAAATAGTCCATCATCGATATTCCTTAAATTCTCAACTTTACTACTGAGTAGTTTTTTTTACCTTCTTGCTCTAGCTGAAACCTGACTCTCTAAGGACACTGTTCTATTACTGCTTCTGTTCCATTAAAGCCACCCCAAATGGTGGTGGTCTATTTTCCTCGAAGCCCTCAAGTGCCTAGGTCACTAGGTGTGCTATGTGTTCTCCTTGCTCCTCATTACCCTGTCTTAACTTATTCTACATCCCTCCTTATAAAAATCCACAGTTTTCAATTTCACATCATCAATGACATCCACTAGCCCTCAATGTCACTGTGATCTTCTAACCCCAGGGTCACTCGCCCTCATTCTGGATGGTTTAGCTCCTGCTTCAATATCAATTACTTCAATGCTGCCATCTTAATTTCTGGTGGTTTCCATATCCCTAGAGACAATCTTTAAAGCACTTTGAGCTCTTCTTAAATCATCTAGTCCTCCACCCTATCGCAGTCACTCCCTCATGGTCATAACTAGGACATCACTATTACCAATAACTGCAAATCCTCCATAATCTAAATTCCATTCAACTTTTTCTGACCATTCTTTCCTATCTCATGTTTCTTTACTTGAGAACCCTGAACCACAATCATTTAAGTCCACTGGAACTTCCAATCGGTTGATCTTACTACCGCTTTTATTTCATTTTATTTTGCTTGGTTCCTCACCACTTGATTTCCACTCTTTATCCATCCTCAATGTCACTGTCAATTACATTAGTGCCTTACATAAGCCATTTCCCAGTTCCCTTGCCCTTCTCTTGTTGAAGGGAGATGGAGAAAAACAAAAATCCACTCTGACTAATTTCACTTTATTCATTACCACATGGTAATGAGCGCTTTAATGGTGCCTGGCACCTTACTCAACTTTCATAGTCCAATCACTCTACTCTTCTAGATGATTATTTTACACTTTATCTTCAGACTTCAAAATCTTTCTGCCCCATCATTACTCTGATTTTATAGTCTTGTTTCTCAGTCCATTGAAAAAATTAAATCAATCAGAAAAGATCTGCTGCAGAATCCTACCAACAGAATTAACTGTTTATCAGCCTCTATACCCAAATACTCTGCTTTACAATCTGTTACTGTGGACCAACAATCTGTATTTTTATCTCAAACCAAGCCCTATATTTGAGCAAACGATCTCACCTTCTGCCTACAAAAAGACAGCTT